CTGCATTATACTTGAGAGTGATATATAGCATTTTTTCAAGCTCCTCATAGTTCATAGGTTTTTTTTTAATATATCATCATTCTCACTTAAGTTTTGTAAGTCTTGTGAAATAGACTCTAAAGGGTCAGACTTTTCATATTCAGAAGTAATATTCGTGCAATTTACCTCAAGCTTATTCTTGACTTTATGCATGGTTACTGGAATGATATAATTTTTTCTATTATGAAGGAACTTTAATTTGTTTTTACCCCAATTCACAGTACAATTGTATTTCTTTAAAAGCTGGTTAGAAAATATTAAAGTTGGCTTGTTATATTTTACAACAACAAAATCTTTATGAATAGTAAATCCAGGAGCTAGAGTAATAGGTAAATTGCGAACTACTCCAATAGATTCAATCGGAACAGTGGTGATACTACTAAGATCGTGTGTTTCAGACTTCTCAATTTTAGCCTTTACATAATCAACAATATTTTCAGTCACTATAGGAGGCTCTGCTCCAGAATCGAGGGTCATAGCAGAGATTTTTAAATGCTTAATTTTACACTTCACGGTTGCAATACTTGTGGGTGGCTCCTTCTTCTTGACAAAATCAATTTCCATAGAACTATCTAAGTACTCTTTCTCTTCTGTGTCTAGTGGTAAGTCTTTAGAAATAAGTAAATCTTCACTTTGGGGCTCTATTTTCTTCTGTATAGGAGGTATCTGTTTTGATGTATTAGCTTTATTAGAATCAGAATTAGCATTTGGGAGGAATATTGATGGAAAAATTAATTTAAGTTCACTTTGGAGGATTTTACAAATAGTTTTCTCTAATGAAGTTTTAGATATTTTTTTAAGGGACGATTTTTTGGAGCTGGAGTTTTGCTTCACTTTTTTTTTAACTTAGCCATATTAACGGTAATATTACCTCCAGAATTAGAAGAATCCTTTAAACTTGTATCAGAGTCAGAACTGTCACTAGATGATGTATTAGTAGTAGAATCCGAATCTGAGTCTGAATTTACAGTGGCTAGGTTAACCTTATCCTTTCTAGACTTTTTGCTTTTCTTTTTCTTCTTTCGAGAGCAGTTTCAAGAATTGTGACCAGACCTTCCACACTTGGAACATTTGTGGCCTGAAGAGGATTTCTTAACAGCATGTTTGACAGCAGTATTTATAACACTATTTAATATTAATCCTGCTAAGCTATCTGAAATATCATCTACAGGATCATGATTATTTTCATCGGCAGGGTGTATATATGGTTTTTTTCTTAGTAAGTCACTCAAAAAATGTATAATGGCAGTATTTTCTACTCTCTTATCAGCTGATTTTTTACTATTATCTAGAGTTTTAGTTGCTTGAGACATAGTCTCTTGCAAGGATTTAGCTACAGCTTGTAAATCAGCCTTAGTAATATTTTCCTAACCAGAAGAAGATGCTGGTGATTGATTTAGCGTTGATTGCTGTAATGCCTGAATCCTACTATTTACAATCCTATCAACATCTTCTGTAGTAATACCCTGATAAAAAGGCGCTTTTGGTTTTGTCTTAGTAGCTGGCTGATTATAAATATCTTCACCCAAAAGCATGTTATTTTTTTCTATTTTAATCTGTTCCAAGATTTCAATCAAATCGTCATTCAAAGGTCTGTTTAAATCTAATCACTTCAATTCTAACTTGTTTTCAGGGGACAAGCTACATATAAATTGTATTCTTTTTTCACGATCAGATATTTGGGCTCAGCTAGCATATTTATCTATCTTTCTATAGTAATCTCTAACTAAATCAGATTCTTGAGTCAAAGTACTAAAAATCATTTGTTGTTGCTCTTGAACAACTGTAGGATAATTTCTTTTAAACCAATAGATAATCTGACTAATATTGATATCAGGGAGGACTATATGGTTATTATTATTTAAAACTCCATTTGGTGCATTAGTTGCTGTACCAGCGTCTACAGAACACCACCCAGCAAAAGACCAATCCTCATCCATATGAACATTATGTGCTGAAATAACTGTGGCACCAGTAGCTTCACCCAGTAATGCTGGTAGTAGAGTACCATCTGGTGCATTGATTATGGTGGCCGTTATGTTAGTATTATTCAGGGCCACTACGGCGGCCATATTTGCTAAAGCATTTCCACATCTTACATGATTCAATCGCTATTTTTTATCTATGAGTTTGTCTTCGACCCAACGTGATGCCTCACCTGTCAAGCATGACTGAAATAGTTCTAAAGCTTTCTGTTTGCCGGCTGCATTAGCAGTATTAATATTGGCCACCGTAAGATAAAGTCTGTAATCTTTTATGAATTCATTTATATCTTCATCTGCTCTATCTGAGAATCTTTTGGGTGCATGCCCTGCCATTCCTATTTGTTGTATATTAAGTGGGTAATTCTGTAGTGCAAAAATTTGTTGATTTAAAATTAAAATATTCTGGCACTCTGCATGAGTTTTATTTTTCCATTTCTCATATCACTTATAGAGTCTGTCTCTATTATATTCTAACAAACCTCTATTGGCTCTGTATCATTGTAGGTGGTGAGCATTTCGTTGATATAAGATTTGTAAGACAAATTTTTCCTGTAGTAATACACAAATACAGGTTCGCTTTCCTGTTATATTGTCTAACATTCTGTTTACTTGATTCTGAGCATTAGTCCACAACTGATCACGCTCCTGCATTGCTTGATCACGCTCCTGCCTGTATATATCATGATTCCATCATTCGTTTACTAAATCCTGTTGCAGGTTAGCATATTTTCATTGGATTGATCTTGTTGTCCTCTTAATTTGATTTTTTAAAATAGTTGGACATATTGTTGTATCATCTAGGAAGCAGTCTATAGTATCGGCTAATTCGGCTATTGTATCTATATCTAAATTCTGATCAAAATTATAAATATCTAAAGAATACTCATCAGAGTTAGATTCATTTTCGTTAAAGTTCTGTGCTTCTGCATTTTGCAAAGCCTCTCTGGTATTTATAAGCTCCAATCTATCTCTATATCTTAATAAGGATAATGCAAAATTTTGACAAAGCAGGTCTGTAATACGGCTTTTTTGTTGAGTTATTTTGTTAATCCTATTCATTTGATTAGTTCTTACTGTATTTATTTCTCATTTAAGCCATTCATTCTCATTCACTAATCTGGTTGTATAAGCTTGTGCTTTGGAGGTATTGCCCGCAGATTTGAATATCTTCCGTATTCTGTTTTTTAATTTTGTTTCTTATTCATCAAATTCTGATATTAATCTATATTTATTAGAAATTTCTTTGTCTTTCCTTTTATTTTCTTCCTCGAGTTGGTGGACAATCCTTTTTAATTTTGAAATTTCTTCTAATAATTCTTCTTTGTCTTGTCTAGAAAGCTCGATGGTGTTATTTAACTTTTTTTCAAGAAATCGTATTCTCTCTTCCCATATGCCAATAATTTTTTCTAAGGTATATAGACGTTTTTCAAAATTCCTATTTAATTCTGCCAATTGGGATACTACCTTATGGAGTTCTTGGTTACTTTGTTGTAATTCCTCCATATTTTTTTTTACTATTATCAAATAAACTAATGGGAAAGCCGGTTATTTATATTGATCCAAATGAGGCTCATAGTATAGAACAGAATCTTATTCTACTAAAGATATATTATCGACTTACTGGATATTTTTCTAACCCTAAATCCTTAAGAGATGTTTGAAAGAAAGTGGGGCATCAATTTCGGCTAAGTGAATGCAAAGATTTTTTGGAATGCTAGCAATCATACCAAATCTATATGCCCCTACCTAAACATATTCCTAGAATCAGTTATGGGAAAATAACATGACCAAATTGTGTATATCAGTGTGATATATTATTTCTTACCTATGATCATTACAGAAGTAAAACCTATAAAGCGGTGCTTAATATAATAGACTGTGCTTCCAGATATAAAGCTTCTGTTCCACTTACATCTAAAAATAGTTCAGAGATTGCTAGAGCATTCAAAAAAATATATAGAGATCGAAATAACCCATTGACATGGCCAAAGCTTCTACAATATGATGGTGGTCATGAATTTATAGGTGAGACTTCTTGACTAATGCAGGAGCACAATGTTACAATTCGAGTAATAGGACCCTATAGTCATAGAGGTCTTGCAATAGTAGAACGTTTCAATAAGATAGAAGGGGACATGCTCTATAAGATTCAGTATGCTGTTGAGTCTATATCTTCTAATCCAAGATTAATAAGAGCATGGGTTAGATATTTACCAAAAGTTGTTGATTATCTAAACAATTATCCCACACGCCTTATTAGAGAACCAGGTTCTTCAAAATAGGGATTAGCACCTTCATAAGCTATTTTATTGGGAGAGGTCGAATCTAAGCTATCAATATCATCAAAGCAACTCATTAGTAAGGATGAAATAGTATTAAAAAAAGGTGATTTTGTTCGCTATTTTCTTGCCAATGCTGAATGGGAAGGTGGGATGGAAGCAGTGTGTAGAAGCACTGATTCATACTGGAGTCCAAGTATTCACAAAATTCGAAAAATTGTAATATCTAAAAATGAACCAGTTTTATATTATCTCAGGAGTAATGATGATGAATTTGCTCCAAAACAGGGATTTGTATGAGAGGAACTCATGCATTTGACTCATGACCCTGAGCTTCTCCCTTAAAGTATATTATCTGTATATACTGTATATACTTCTCCTACTAATAATGAGATAATTCAAGCTAAAAATTATGCTAGTCAATGTGGTAGAATTTGTCTTGAAAAAACTGGCCAGATACATGGACATAGTATCTATCTCTGGTCTTGTGAGAGTAGTGCATATCAATGGGAGTATCCATTAAAATATATAATGAAAAAATTCGAATAGTGTCCTCTATGTAGAGTTTAGGGCACAAGAGCATGGGCATGCCTATATATTTTTGTGTAACATTATATTATGTGAATAATAAACAGCCAATCAAAAAATTAATACTACATATCAATAAAATAATTAATTGACATATGCGTATGGTTAACAAATACAGTATAAAATAGAAAAATAAATATCATGTTAATAAATAGTAAATATTCACAAACTTGAATAGCTCTAAATATTTAAACTAATAAACACTAAGACTCTAATACATCTACCCAGCTAGCTACTATTACAAGTTGGGTATAATCATTGTCGTGGATCATAATGAAACTAGATTAAAATGAAATGAGGGTTTCTATTTAACTCTCTAAAACCTACTTATACTTGTTTATTATAAATACTACCCTAAAACTAACCTCAAACTCTAACCTCTAACCTAAAAAAATGCCCATTTTTTATATTGTACAATATTTCATTTGGATCCGATTTCATTTTAATCTGTCACAATTATTAATTATATTGAGATGCACATTAATTCGAAATGCTCACAGATATTAATTCGGAACGCCCACAGATCCACAGATGCTAATGCGAGACCATATATGCTATTTTTGAAGAATATTTTCACAAGCATTATTCACGCTTACAGTATATAGTATATAAATTTTTTAAAATTATTTATTAATATACTTTGTATCAAATAAATTTTATCTATTACGCAATAAAAAGTATAAATATTTTTAATCAAATATAATTAATGTTATAAGCTAATTAGAGATTACTTAACTTGACTTTTAATAAATAGAATAGAACACATTTCAGAAATCTATAAATTCAGAATTCATTTGAGTGAATATTGATACTAAAGGATTTTTAGTACCGGGTGTATCAAAAGTCCTTGTGCATAATCCCTTTTTTAAGTAACTTTAAATATAGAGATTACAATGATTTTTTTTTTTTTTTTTTGGTATTAAGGTGACCTTTTTGGTCTGGGGAACTTTTTATTAGAGTATAGACGAAGTTTTATATATAATTACAACGATGGTACATCAAGCCACAC